CCTCCACTTTGGCACCCCAAGCCTCAATCTCTTGCCCATCTGTGTAAGGAGTGATTGTAGACTCAATTTGGGTCCTTTGCTATCCCTGCCACTTGGTGAGTCCCATCCTCTGTCCCCATCTGCAGCCATTCTCAGTTAGTTGCCAGCCAGCTGATGCATTCACTGGGAGCCCAGTTCCCTCTTCTGCGGGATCCCCTTGGCTGAGAGTAAGATAAGACAGAAGAAGAATTCTGGAATCTGAGGATGGAGGGACCAGGGAACAAATGCAAAGCTTAGCAGTCATTTAGTACCAGCTCCTCCTCGCCCAGTTTAAAGATAAGGCAACTAAGGCCCAGAGAGCTGAGATGTCTGGTTCGAGGTTACCTAGCTGGTGAATGGTGGAGCTGGGACTGAGATCCTGAGCAGCTGTTGAGAAATAAGAGCCTCCTAATTAATCCTGAGTGCAGGACCTTTCTATTCCCCCTTGCTGCCACATCCTGTGACCTAGGGAGAAGGGAATGGCCTCACTCCCCCCATATGTGCAGCACAAACTCTTTTCTTCTCCCATGACATTTGATCTCCATAACATCTCTCTGAAGCAGGCAGAGTGGTGACGACTGTCTCCATTTTATAGATGAGGAAATTGTGGTGCAGAAAGCAGAACTGATCTGCCCAAGATAGCAGAGCTGGCCAGTGGCAGAGCTGGGCCTGAAATTCTGTTTCTCTGAGTCCAGAGGTCGTATTCCCCTCCCCTCCACTCTGTCTCTCTGGGCCTGGTCCCTTCTGCTGTTCTGCCCCTTCCCTCCAGGAGTAAGGCATCTGACTTGACCTGACTCCAACAGAGATTCAAGGTGCTCTGCTCCAGAGGGGGATTCCTGGGAGTCAAGACCAGAATGTATGTTCCCTCCTTCCAGCTCAGGGCCGGAGCCCTGCCTCTCTGTGCAGCCTCTCCATGAAGCCCTGGAGCTTTCAGCTCTAGGACTGGGAGGTAGAGGGCTGATGGGTCTTCAGATGGCTCCAGCTGGGATGGCTGGGTCTTAGGGAGCTCAGCACACACAGTACAGCAGGCTAACATGCTAAAGAGACCATGGAGTGCCTATATGCACCTCCACGCCTTCCTGGGTGGTGTTTGCTGAAAGAAAACTTCCCTCCAATGGGAGAAAATTTAAAGTGAAACCTCCCCATGGCATTCATCCTGGCCAGCTGGGGGAAAGTGGGCAGGTAACTCACAAAAGGATTCCCTCTCAGCCCCACTTACGTCTTTTGCCCTAAAATTGAGTGAGCTGTTCTCTAGTAAAAGAGAGACGCTGAGCGGTGGCTGGGTCCACAATCTAAAGGGGAGAAGGGGGCATCCAGGACTGGGGAGTACTTAAGCCACTTTCCCGTCATGCATGCTGTACTTATACTCGTGTTCTTTAGATAAAAGCACTGATGTAGCTGCTCCATATAAATGTGTTTTCTCAAAGACAAGACTTTTCATCATAACGTGTCTTCTTCTAGGAATGGTTCCTGTTGGCTGGTCTGAGGGTGAAGCTAAGGAGAGAAGACTTATCTGAGTCTATCTTGTTTATCTGATGATCTGTTTTTGTCTGCCCCACCCCTATAATGTAAGCTATCATGCCGTAATAGGTTTATGCTGTGTTTCCTGGAAAATAAGACCGGGTCTTATATTAATTTTTGCTCCAAAAGATGCATTTTATTCATTTATTCATGTACAAAAATCTACATGTATTCAAATACAATCATGTCTGGCTGACAATCTTAACTGGGGCTTATTTTGGGGTAGGGCTTCTATTACAAGCGCCCTGAAAATCATGCTAGGGATTATTTTCCAGTTAGGTCTTATTTTTAGGGAAACACAGTAGGAAACCTATAATGCTAAAGGTCATAAATGTGAATCCTGTTACTACATAGAGTTCACATATCAGTTGGCTACATCTGAGACCCAGATGCCCCATAGTCAAAAGCATGTTGCATTCTCCATAGCCGGCCCAGGGGCCCAATGGTCTTTTCACATTGGTGTCCTCTCAAATACCTAATGAGTCCCATTAAGGGGATGTTTACAGTCCACCTTCCTCAGCCTGGCTTTCAAGGTCCACCACCATCTTCCTCCTGCAAGACTGACCTCTATGTTCCCATACTCTGGCACGTGAGGCTCTCTCCCTCCCTTTCTACCTCCTTACTTCCACAATTTAAGGGGCACCAAACCCTGTTCTAAGTGCAGCAGACTTGCTTTCATTACGCTTACATTATAGAGGTGAAGATAGATAAAAACAGATATTCAAATGAGGAAGGTAAATTCAGATAAGTGCTATGCACACAATAAAACATGGTGATGTGCTAGAGAGGTCTGTGGAGTGGGGAGGAAGCCAAATTCTTTTGGCTTCACTCTCCCACGACCTGCACAGGTAAATGCTGCCCATTGGTCAAGGCCCGCCCACATGCTACTTCTCTGGGAAACTCACCTGCTTTGGGGGCTGGCAGTGTCCTCGCCCACCCTTGCCTTTATTTCCCTTCCTGGCAGGGTGTCTAGTGGCTTTAGTATATTCTGTGCCCATCCTGCTGCTGAGCTGTAAGCTTCCTAAGGGTAGAGAAAGCATCTCTTCCAGCTATGTGCCTCACACTTGTGCAGCACATGCCAAGCACAGAGTAATAGCTCCATAAGTTTACTGGATGGGCAAGATCTCTCCTACCTCAGAGAACCAAGAGCAAACAGGGAGAAGAGAGCCACTTGTATCCCCTGGAGAAGGACCAGGAAGGGGCATAGTTGAGTGGAAGATTTCATCCCCCGGGGGAGGAAGGCTTAAACCAACCCAGGCCAAATCCCCTTAAACCTTTAAATAGTTTGGTTTGACAAGGAGCCTAAGAATAGTATTATACCGATTGCTTGGCTTGGAAAGGTCTGGAACCGTGTATGGGGTTGGGGAAAAATTTTCCAGGTATACATAATTTGGTAAAGAGCTGGAGAAGGGTGTGTAGGATTGTTCTGTTTATGAGGGTGGCCGTGCATTGTGGCAGGGCATGTGGATCAGATTCTGTGTGCTGTGGAGCTTTGTGTGGTATCTGTGATTGTGGTTCTGAAATATTGGCATAGGACGTGTGTGTGTGTGTGTGTGTGTGTGTGTGTGTGTGTGTGTGTGTGTGTGGCTGTGGTGGTAACGTGCATGTGTGTGGTCCGGTGTGTGGGTGATGGAGTAGTGGTGGCTGGAGTGCATGTGTATGTGTGGTACATCCCCTGGTATGCTGCTCTGGTAGGGAGGGTGTGGAGGTATGCTAGTATGTTCTCCCAAAAGGCAGTGGAGCGCTTGCCCAGTATCCTCTGAGGAATCCTGCACCCTCAGGGAGAAGGGCCTGGAGAGAGGAGGAGCAGCAGAGGCCTGGGCTCTGGGAGTCCAACATTCCTGACAACTCTTCCAGGTGATAGCTGGGCCATGTTGAGGACCTCACAACTGGAAGCCATCAGAACATGCTCCGCCCCCCTCCCCACGGTGGCCTTTAGAAAATGGTCTTGCCTGTTCAGCTCTCCTTTGACTTGAGGTCCCTTTGTTTTAAAGCTGTATCCTCAAGCCCCACCCCACTCTCTTTCCTACTGCCCAGAGCAGACACCAAAATGTTTCTACATTTCCTCCAAAGTCCTGGAAGGTCTGTTTATGGCTGCAGCAAAGCCTTACACATCTGTGCACAGTTTAGCTGGGAGAGCTGGAAACTCAGGAACTGGAGTTTGCTGGGATTTGGAGCACATTGCTGTATCTCCATCTCTACACAACTATCAGAGAAGAATGAATTTGTGTTTCTATAGATAGATAGCCCTTCACCGGTCCCTTGCACACAGGTGTGCCAGCACATTCTGAGAACAGCCTCAAGCATGGTTCCTAAAGATATAGAGCCCACTTATACACACAAAGCTGGTACCCTAAGTCCTGTCACACACATGTAATGCCTATATCCCCAGACACAAAAGGTAACACACAAATGATTCAGCACACTTGTGCGTGGACATGCAATGCACAAAGAATGTGTGATTCACTTTCACCACCTACAGATACCCACCCTGAGCCAGTCAGGACCCCATACCCAACCTCAGGCAATACCTGTTCCTTCAGGCAACAGGACAGGCCTACCGTCACCCAGGAGAGCCTAACCATGTCCCTGTCCTTCCCCATTCTCTGCCCTTTCCCTGACAGAGACTGCCACTCACCTTCTCTTTGCCACTGAGCACTCTGGATCTACTCATCAGGTGATCCTGAGTTGCCCTCAGCACCTGTGTGCTCTGGTCCTCAGTTGTCTCCTTGTAAAGAAGTTGAACTGGAGGACTGCTGAGGTTTGTCCATTCTAACACTCCACTATGCCTGTTTCTCTAGGGTTGACTGGGTTGAGGACAGGCCACCCTTCCAGGCCATCCGGAGATGTAAGACTGCCAGACTCTCTGGGAGGACTAGAGACACAGCCACCCTGTGTGGAGGAAACTGGGGCCAGGAGAGTCAGTGCTCCAGGAGGAAGAGGAAGACGAAGGTAGGCAGAAGAAGGCCACTGTGTGATGAGATGCTAGGAACTGTGACTGGATGTGCTGAAACAGGAAGAAGCTGCCAGCTGTGCAAGGATTAACCTGGGCTGGTGGTGGAAGGTGGCCAGCCAGCCTGCTGCTGGGGCTTCAGATTATTTTTAGACACAGCCCTGGAGAAGATATGGACCCTGAGTGACCACACTGCATTAGAGTGGCTGCCATGTCTGGTGAGGTCCAGGGCTGGCTGTCTGCTGCTGATTTTTCAGTCTCCCTCTGGCTCAGGCCCTCTTCTCTGCTTTTCCATTCAGCCTAAACTAGACACCCTGGTGGGCTGAGCTGGGACTTGGCTGGTGTTGGTAGATGCCTCCCCAGCTGCCCTACTACCATGTGCCCTCTCTGCAGGACAGGGCCGGGACCCGAGTAACCCCTATCCTGACCTGACTCTCCCATGCCTGCATCCCACATCTCTCCAGAAACCTCATGGGTTCTGGGGCCCCTCCCCCTGCCAGGAACTCACCTGTCCCCATTGCTGACTCCTCTTTTTGCCTCCTTCATTTCTTCAGGCCTATTCTTGGATCTGCAGTCACTGCCTCTTCTCTGTTAGCCAAACCAGGCCTCCCAGGTTCCAGCAAAGCTTCCTGGTCAGGATAGGAATTTGTTGTTTAGAGCAGGTGGTGATAGGGAAGGGGGCGAGGGGCAGGCAGCAGAAAGAGGAGAGTGCGAGTGGGAAATAGAAAGTGGAAGGAAGCAAAAAGAACTGACATTTACTTGGGCCTAGGAGGGAGAGAGGAACCAGTTGAGTGTGCTACAGGGTGTCCTGTGACTACATGGCCAGGAGAACAGGTGTGGAGGGGGCAGGGACGAGCTGTGCTTCCCAAGCCCCCTTCTTTGCTGGGCACCCATTTTAAGGCCCTGCTTGGCCCACGTGGGGATGAGATATATGTCTTTGTCCTCTCCAGGAGTGTATCCCAAAGTCCTGATCTCCTCAGGGCCAGAAAAGGATTCTCCAGGGCTCTTGGAGGGGTGTTCTGGGTTTGGGGTGCTCTTTAACTCCCTCCATTCCATACATAGGACTGTTTTGGCGGCCTCTGGGTCCCAAGAAATATCTAACTTCATGGGCCTTCTCAAGTCTCCTTGCCCCGCCCCCTTGGCATATGAACCCAGGCTGTATACAGACCCTCCCTCTTCTTTACAAGCTGGAACATCACAGCTATTCTCAGCTTTCTGTCCACACTCCGTAATCATGGAATTTTCTAACTCAACCATGGGTTAGAAACCTCCTCAAAATTCCACTGGAAGCCTTGAGGAATTTTCCATCCTTCATTGCATATCTGCGAGATCTGGAGCAAGTTTCTTTAAGGCTTTGCACCTCAGTTTCTCAAGTGCAAAACAGAGACTCAGTTGTAAGGTCCGTGTCTGCTGAGCACCCAGCCCAGTGCCTAATAATAGCAGGAGACCCTTGATAAACTTTAATTCCCTTCTCCTTCCCCCACCTGCACCTTTACTCTCCTAACATTATGCAAGCCAGAAAAGAGCAAGCTGACCCCATTGCCCTGGGACAAAGGAGTGATGGCCTTGATTCAAGGGCAAAGTACAGGAGTTTTTGATTAACTCAGGAACACCATCAACTTCCAGCAGCCCAGCTGCTGTGGAGTAGGGTGGGGAAGGGAGGGGCGGTTGTTGAGGGAAAATGCAGGAAGGATATTGGGAAATTCAGAAATCAGGGGGGACATGAGGACTGGGAATGCTGAGGTAAAGACCTTCTCCCACCACTTCTCTTCAGTCTGGGCAATGCCACAGCCTGAGGCAGAGCCAACAGGAGCCCCACGCTAGCTCTGCAGGTGGTGTTTGTCCCCAAGCCTCTATGAGAGGCTGGATTCCTGTGGGGTTGAAAGGCCTTGGATGTTCTCCTCTCCAGCCCTAGTCTCCCTTTCCCTAGTCCTGAATGTGTCAGATGTGTTTTTTGTTTGTTTGTTTTTTTCCTGAAGGAGCAAGTCATCCTGGCTTTGGAGGGGAGGAGCTGCTCACTGTCTAGATCAGTGTCCCTATGGAACAGGAACTTGGACAGAGAGCATTGGGTGGAGGTGGGGGCTGGGGAGGGGCCCAGAGCACAGGGAGAACTATGCTCCCTGAAGAATCCCAGAGTGCTCTTACCCAGAGGGTCTCCTAGGGATCATGGAGCCCCTTTTCAGCTTTTATGCCAAAGGGCTCCCAACCCACCCCAGGAAGAAGGCCAACTCTTCATGTTCACCAGAACATTCCACATGGTGGCTGTCCTGGTCTGCATAGTCCTCCTGATTTCTAACCTGAATCTTTCCTGCAACTCTGATAAAATTCTTCAGGTTTCAAGGAGTTATTCATGGTACTGTGGATGGAAAAGGGGCCACGCGTTAAACCTGACAAGCTCAGGAGACTGAAAATAACCACAGAGGATGGCATGAACATAAAAATTCCTAACAAAGGTGGGCCATGGAAGGAAGTCACATCCTTGGCCTGTAGCTTCCATGACAAAGGTCAATCTTTACCTTCAGCCTGTCCGTCATCTTTTTGCATCTAAGATAACATACCCTTGCAATATCAGAGTAATCTCTTTTTCCGGACCCCTCCCCCCGAGGGGGCACAACCCTCCACATCATAGTAGGAAACTACCAAGTCCCTCATTGTTATCTTGTTCCCCAAACACTATCTCTATGTGCTGTAAAATGCTATTAATTATGTTGTTCGCACTAATGTAAAAGAAGTGTGTGTCTCTCCATTTGACTTTTTATCCAATCCCAGAGATATCCCCCCCCCTTAGCTTTCTCCCACCTGCTTAATCTACAACCAATGGATTTCATGTAACCTTCCTCCTTTGATTCTAATGTATAAAAGAAGTTGAAAAACAGCCATTTTCTGGAGCACTTTCTCAATCTGTTGAGACTGCTTCCCGGCAATTGTCATCAGTTTGGCTCAAATAAACTCTTATAAGTTTTTCTTAGGCTGGATGTTTTTCGTCAACATTACCAAGTAAAAAGTCTGTTTTTCCCCTCTGAGGATAAACCAAACCTTGGGAAGATTCTAAGCTTGTCTCCAGGATCCTTCATCCAATTCGTGGCCCTCCCAGCCTCCTCCCCACCCAGCCACATGGGAAAATCCCTAGTTAGCCCTTCTCGTCATGTGAATGAGGCTACAATTCAAAGGCAGTAGGCAAGAAGGAGGCCACACGGAACAGCCAGAAGAACCAGCCCTTTGTGCTGAACTGGGGTCCTTGGGAGATGAGTGCATTTTTGGCATATTTAGAAAGATTTCTTTTTTATAATGAGCAGCAGAGGAGGAGGGGGAGGGAGGGAGAGACCGAGAGGCCCAAGGCAGGACTTGGGAAAGGAGAAGGGAGGAGGAGTGGTGAGGGCTGGAGAGGGAGGTTCTGAGAGCAAATGGAGAAATGCAAAAGAAGCCAAAAGTGAGAAATGGGGAAAGAGAGGGAAAAGAAGGGAGATTCTTAAGACAGATGGAAATACAGTTGACCCTTGAATGTTACAAGATTTGGGGTGCTGACCTCCTCACAGTCGAAAATTCATATTTAACTTTTGACTCCTTAAAAACTTAACTACTAATTAGCCTACTGTTGACAAGAAACCTGACTGATAACATAAACAGTCGATTCATACATATTTTGTTTATATGTATTATATAATGTATTCTAACCATAAGATAAAGAAAAATGTTATTAAGAAAATCGTGAAAAAATACATTTACAGTATTTATTGAAAACAACTTGTGTGTATGTGGAACTACATAACTCAAACCTGTGTTGTTCAAGGGTCAACTGTAATGATGTCACCTAGATAGAGATCTTCCTAAGAGAAAGGGTGTTCATTTATTTGGAGGTAGAGGGGTGGATGAAATGAAGGTGCCAACAAGGGATTTTACTTCCATTTTACACTTGGGGAAAACAACTTAAAAGGAATGCCAGATGATACAAACCGACGCTGACTGAGCTCTCACTGGGCACACTGGGTACTGTGTTGAGTGCTTCCCAAACAGTGCCTGATTTAATTCTCATGAAAACCAAATGAGGCTGGGTCTATCATTAGCCTCACTTTATAGATAAGGAATCAGAGATCTTGAGAAGTTAGTCAACTCACTAATACCTAACATCACATCAGCCAGCTAAGAAGTGGTGGATCATGGCTGAACCCACAGGGCTCATGTCGTTCATCGTTCATGCTGCTAGGTGAGGGGCTTAGTGCAACCCAGGGGACACAGAAAGAAGTCACAAAAGCATGAACAGGTAGGCACACCTGCAGGCCACTCTTGGTCCTAAGACAATACACACATTCTAGCCTGGGTCCTTTTTTCAAGGTCATTTAGAAGGTCCCACATAGCCTTTGATAGAACACACCACTTCCCTCCTGCCTGTGAGTTTTCCCCCATCCTCTGACTCCCTTTGAGAATAGACAGAGGCTGTTTTTCTATTTCTTCAAATGCTCTGTGCCCCTAAAGGCCTAGGAAACAGCTCACTCCTCAGCTCTTTGTTGAGCAGACAGGTTCTTGGAAGTTCCCCTCTCCCTGCCCCTGTGACCCCATCTTCTCATGGCTTCCGTTTTTCACTTGGCATGCTGCATTGCCAGTCCTGTTTACACATGTTTCCCACAGGGACTGCCTTTATTGGCCTCTGAAAGCCCAACACCTGGCCCTGCGATGGACACAAATGAGTGATGGTCCAGGCATTCCACAAATACTCAGTTTTGTGCATTCACAAACAGTTTTAGAGCTTTAACTCGGTGCTTGGAGCATGCAAGGAGCTGAAGAACAAGACATTGTCCCTTTTCGTCAAGCTCAACTGGGCTGGGAAAATAGATGAGTAAATCAGTGATTACACTGCCTGGTGATGGAGATGATGGCAGGAGTCCCAGGGGTGAGGAATCTGAGGAGGTGGAGGAAGGAGTGGCTTTCTGGAAGAGGTGGGGACAGAGTCTTGAAGAGAGATCCTCAATTCTACCAAATTCTGGAGCAAATTCTGGCTTGCTATTCCCCTTCTTCAACTGTTACCACCCATTAAAAAAAAACAATAGTTCATTCATTTATTAATTTATTTGAAAAATACTTATTGCTTGCCTATTGTGTGCTAGACAATGTGCTAGTGTTTGGGAACTCAAGGATGATACCTGTGATACCTAGTCGCTGCCAGGTCCTGAAGCTCCTGGACAGGTGAGAGCCAAAAATAGGCAAGCAGTGACCTCACAAAAAGCAGGGCAGTCCTTTCACTTGCCCCGCCCTCCCACTGCTAACTTACAAAGATTGGTGGCTTGTCCAAAGTCATAAGGCAAGTAAATAGGGGATTCTTGACCCCTCCTCAGTTCTCAGGCTCCAAACCCTTATTCTTAGTGCACCTTATTCTGGTCTCTGCAGAAGGAAGGCACTGAAAGTGGGCTTGCTGCCTGGTGGTGACCACTTGTGGAGTTGGGCTGCTGGGTGTCCTCTGAGAAAGTGCAACAGTGCATGTTTTCTCCCAGGCTATGTGTGAAATGTCTGGTGCTCAGTTCTTTTGCTTCCTGGGTAGGTGGGGCCATGGGAAGGGCTGGGGAAGTAAAGGCAATGGTGGTGTTGTGGTCCAAGCGAGTAGCTCCGCCCCCCACACTGAAAACCTTTTTTTTTAAAGATTTTATTATTGGGGAATTGGGGGAGAGGAACAGACAAGTTGCTGTCCTTTTGTTCTTCAGTCTAGTTGTGGAGGACGTTGCTTCACTGGCCCATGTTGGTATTATCATTGCGCTATTCCCAGGAGAGGCAGTCGCTTGTGGCCATTGGACGGCCGCTTATGGCGGCTCACAGCAGCTCACAAAAGCTCATGCCCGCTGCCAGCCAGCCCCACTGCAGCCTATGCTGTCTCCAGTGACTCATGGCAGCCCAGCTCCAGGTAGAGCTATTGTTCACCATCTTAGCTGTAGAGGGCACAGCGTCACTGGCCCTCATGTGGGATCCGAACCGGAGCCCTGCTGCTCAGAGCTGGCATCCCAAGTCAACGTTAACCAACACACTACTCGGCTGGCCTTGAAAAACTTAAGTTTTCTTTCCTATAGAAATATTAAGTATAGAAAATTTAAGTTTCCTCCTCCCTAGTTTTAGTTCCTTACTTAGCTCCTGGCTTTGATTACTCTTCTAATCAGTTTCTGAATCCTAGGTTAAAGATAGCTCCTAGCCTGAATCTAGAATTCTCCTATCTCCCTGCTTCTTGATTGTTTGTAAATCAGTTTCTGAATCCTACACAATAGATTGTTCATAGAAATTTCCTACCCCGGCTTCAGATAAGACTTAAAAGCCTGTGACTTCCCAACATCCCCCAAGCTATTCCGGACCTAACTCTTAGACAATTCCCTCCCAGAGATGAAATAGGTTTTAACATTTCTCCAGGCAAGTAAGCCTAATGATTCTTTCCAAACCCATTCTGGGCCAAGCTCCTGGACAATTGACACCACCTGAGTGACAGTTGAATGGCCACATGCTTCATAAGAGCTAACAGGTTTATTAATTAAAATCTATTTTTCCTCATTCAGGGTTCTTGGGGATACAGATGATACCCCAG